TATTTAGCGACTGAAAGAAGCGACGCCGGCACAGCCTGTGGTGCTCCGGCACGTTTGATTTCTTTAATCGACATTTGAACGTTTGACAAGTACCGATTCGATCTCCAAACACCCGATATAATGATCGCAGCAGCGTAAAATATTCGCCTTCGAGCACCGCGTATAAGCTTCAATATTCCTACCTTTGCGCGTTGCTTCCATAGACTCGCGTGTATTGCCTGGTGTCATGCAATAGCCCCCCGGTGTTGCCACCTATGGGCTCCCGATCCGCGATCCAGCCTACTACAGTAAAAATCATTGGTCTCCACTGCAGTCGTGGAACGCATTCGAATACAAAAGCGAAAAGTCGGAATCCGGGTTTCGCGTTCTAACGGGTTTCACGAGTGCAGTAGAGACAAAGGCAGCTAGCTTTAGCCCTTCCACCAGAGGTCGGCATTCTGACGACCCCTCTCGTTTTCCTCTCTCTCTCGGCGCATAGGAACGCTATCTGCCCGTACCTGCTCGCATGCGGGCAACAATCGTTTTCGAACGCCGCTCTTTCGTGGAGCTTGTCAACCGATGGATCTAAAAACGTTCAGGAGAACGTCCGGGCGTCTCTTTAAACACCACCTAGAAGACAAGGCCTGCTCTTTTTCACCCCATACGTCATCACGGGTGGATCCGCGCTGCACCACCTGCGTCAGCATCGCTTCCAGAGCGCCAGCGCGTCTCGCAGCGTCCCGCAAGCGTGACGCTGAACATGGCGTTGCCAAACCGGACATGTCTGCCGCTTTGCGGCCACTCTCGTTGGGCTTCAGCGTCGCTTCTGACGGGTCGGGAACCCACCAATGATGACGTCGGGCGCAGGCCTTGCCTTCCAGGTGGTACTGGTCTCTTTCGAACAACCCGGCCTCTGGAGCATATGCTCGTTGCCTTTCGACGTGCTTTGCAATACCCTCCACACCAACTCATCTTTACAAACAAACCGGAGCGCCCCTAGCGGACGCCACCGGCGCCGCGCATGCGCGGTGGATGGTGGGCAAGAAGCCCGCCGTCGCCCATAAACAAACCATTGAATTGTGTTGTTGTCGGCGTCGGTGGGAGTCCCCGTGCTCTTTTTCGCGTTGGAATTGTTGATTCTACGTCCTCCTAACAATGTCAGACTACTTGAGCGGCTACAGCAAAACTATCGAGGCAAAACTTTGCGTGAATAATGTGACGTGCGGCGATTCATTTCACGTGGACGCCGCAGAATGGGCGCTAAAGCCCACTCCCACGATGAGATTCTGCTCGCTATTTTCAGTCGCGACGTCGCTCGGACTGCAAAAGCGTGGACCGTAGCTCAGATGGTGGACATCGATACTGAAAACCGCAAGTAGAATCGGGCATTACAAGTCGGTGATGGCCACTGGTAACAATGATCAACAACTTCTTGTGTCTGTTTACACTTAGCCGACTTACCCCAACCAACCTTCAACAGTGTTTTGATGCCTGCACTTAGTTCTTATCGCAATTACCAGGTCAACGTTTGGTTTACGGGCCGCTGTCGTTTGAACGTGCTGACGACAAAAAGCAGCCAAGTTTGAAAGAACAGACGACAGTTCGAACGCACGCGCAATGAAGTACGGGCAAGAAGCACCGCGTCCCGCGTCAACAAACCATTCGAATGTCACGTTGTCGGCGTCTGTGTGAGTATGCATACTCTTTTTCGCGTTGGAGTTGTCGATTCTACGTCGTCATCGCAATGTCTTACCCCTTGAATCGCCTGAGCGAAATTATCAAGGCTCGTTACGCCGCTAAACTTTTTCGTAAATAATTTGACGTGTGGCGATTCATTCGCATGAACTCTGCAGAATGGACGCCAAAACCATGATGAGATTCTTGTAGCTATTTTCGGTCGCGACGTCGCTCGTGCTGCAAAAGTGTAAAAGGTAGCGGCGATGATCGACGTCGGTACTGAAAATCGGAAGCGGGAACAGACCAAGCGTAACAAGTAGGTGATGGCCACCGGTACCAATAATTAACATCTTGTATCTACTGTTTGCACCAAGCCTACTTAAGACTTTTGAGGCCTGCAATTACTTCTTATCGCAATCACCGGGTCAAAGTTTGGTCTACGGGCCGCTTTTGTTTGACCGAGCAGACGACAAAAAACAGACAACTTTGAAAGAACAGACGAAAGTTCGAACGATCAGGCGGCCGTGTGAATTTGAAGGCGCACTGAACCCGTGAGTGGTCCGGACAATTTGGGGGTTTGCTCTCGTTCATGTTGGAACAAAGCAAATACATCTGGCGACCACAAATTGTGGCCTGCACACGCAATCGTAGTTCGACGGCGTCTTGTTTGCCCTTTTCACGGCTACTATCCACGTCCTCGGACGAACGGAGGGGGCAAAAACACATGAAAACTGATGTTCAAAAACTTTCTAGACTCTCTTGGTACAGCCCCCGTCGCAGCATTTTGACGAGAATGCACGTCTTTTGTCGCGTTTCTTCCAAAGGAACACAGGAATGCATGTCTGGCACGGCGACTTCTGCCCACCGCCCCAGACCGGAAGTGCGTCCGGCGCGCCACCACCGCGGCGTGACGTAGGAGAGTTGAGTTGGTGTATACACGTTTGCAAGTCCGCCTTCAGGGCGTCGCCATCTTGATCGGCTGGGGCTGGCTTGGGCGCGGTCATAATCCGATTACGACACCTTCGCAATGCTTCGTAATCGGGTTATGACACGTCAGAGCGCACCCCAGCCGAGCAAGATGGCGCCGCCTTGGAGCCGGACTTGCAAACGTGTATATACTGAGAAAGCCTGGCAGATCGCACCGAGAAGCAGCCGCCGAAATGGAAAAGGTGGAGCGGCAGACAACGGGTGAGAGGAGAACCACGTGACTGGCGCCCCGCTGCGGCGAGACACCGAAACATATTTCTCTCGAGCGAACGAGTGTGTTTCGGATCCTCGCCGCAGCAAAAGCTGTCCGCTGACGTCCAGGTTCCCCGAGAAACGGCTCTTTGATGCTCTGCGCTACCACTACCAGATCCTCGTGCTCCAAATCTGCGACCGGTCGGTCACACTATGGCTCCGTCGTCGAACTGCCAGGCTTTGCGAATATAGAGGAAGCTATGGCTTTGCCTCCGCGTACACTCTCGAGGCTTACAAGACGCCGAAGCGTTATCGAACGTAAAAGCTCGCGCTGGACGCGGCACCGAATCTCCCCTCCGCCATTATCACTGTCAGTGACTATAGGTACACTAAACACGAGTGCTCTAAATTAAACGCGGATTATTCTGCCCTTTCCCGTAGATGTCCCAGCACCGCTTCAAGAGCGACAGGGGGCGCCACCGCGGCACAATCTAATTGAGTCCGCTAAGCCAAGCGTAACCAACTTAATTCCAGGGATACCCGCACCAGGGGGTGGCGAAAGCCAAGGGGGCATGCTGCGACAGCCTTCGCCCCGGCAAAGAGGAGACAAGCCCGCTGTAGATTAACGACGACCGCTTCAAGACAGAAGACGCCGTCCTCGCGGCACGTCCCAAGGGGCGGGGATTAGGGCAGAATGCACTTCAACGCCGCCGCCTCCGTCGCCACTAGCACCAGAGGAACGCCAAGGTCGCAGCTGATGGGATGCCGCGACCGAGGACGACGAACTGGTGCGCAACGAAAGGAACCCCCGTCCGGGCGAAAACGTCGTAAAGTGGACTATCATGCGAAAGTGAGGTCGGCTGGGTCTGCGACGAAGATAACCAGGACCATAATAAACTACTCTATGGAAATTAGGAACACGTATCGACGTTTTTGTGGTAATGAATGATGTCGTTCATTACTTCGTGGATTGATTGAAAAGATGTTCACTTCCATCTTTGAACGCACCTAGCTGTGCTGCTGCTGTGGTTGGTAAAATGGCAATGTGTTGATGTGCAGTGGAATTGAGGTATTCTGGCGACGGTAAGTTACGGCTTGTTATGGGTGCCTTTCTTGGCGCAAATTCAAATGATCGAAATCCTGTTCTTGGGGCGATGAATCCGTTATAGGCTCTGTCCTGTCTCTGCGAGGTTGATGTGATTACTCCGCGGTCGAATTTGTATTGCGCGATTCATAGGAGATGCGCCATGTCGGACGTTCAGGAGAAGCTCAGCTGAGGCTATCCTGACGAGAAGGTGCCGCGGTCTCGTTTAAGGCTGTGTCTAACGGTCGGAATTATTCGAGTATTTGAAGAACAATCTGAATTGCCTTCCATGCCCTGTAGGTACTCTGGGTCCGAGAGTACTACAAAAGGATTGGTATGCGGCTGGAGTATAGACCCTCGGGGCAGCGGCGGCGACATTTAAGGCGATCGTGCTCCTCGTTAGGGTTAGCATTCCTGACGTGCCTACAGGGGTTGCTGGAGCCAGCACGTCCATGTCCTCCCACATGGGAACGTCTGACCACACTGTTAAAAAAAGTGCCGTTATATTACAGAACCGTACTGCGCTAACTCATGATGCCAGACATTATCTGTAACCCTCCGTAATACCACCAAAGCCGTAGCTGACAGTTTACATTATCATTTCTGTACAGCAGACATACAGCAATAGAAGCGCAGTACGCAAGTACAGGACTAAAGCCGCAAACTTAGCTCCAGGTATCCAAGCCGTCGAGTGTTCAGACGGTATTGAAGGCGTAAGGGAAGGGTACGGTTTCAGTCCCGTATTTTCATACTGCACTTCCATTGCCGTATTGTAACGGTAACAGTTCAGTTACCGTACCCTTCCCTTACGCCTTCAATACCGTCGGAACGCTTGACGGCTTGCATACCTCAAGTTTAGTTTGCAGCTTTAATCCCGTACTTGCGTACTGCACTTCTATCGCTGTGTGCTCGCTGTACGGTAACAATAATGTGAACTCTCAGCTACGGCCTTGGTAGTATTACGGAGGGTTACAGATAACGTCTGGCATCATGAGTTAGCGTACTACAGTTCCGTAATATAACGACAAATCCTTATAAACAAGTGTAGTGTGTCTGAAAAAAGGGACAAGACAAAACGGAGGCAGTTTTGAAATTGAAGAACTATATTGTAAACCGTAAAAGAACATAATTATAAAGAAACCTTCATGGCATCCGATCGATCATCAGATGAGCTGAAAATAAAACAAATTCATATTCAGATGATTGAAAAGGCTACGGGAGGACCACAACCACTTGCACAAATTGCAGAGGCGCACGCACATGAAGTCACAAAAACCTGTACAGCAGGGGCTCCCAAGCTCACAGAGCGATGCTCTAAGCCTCTGGTAGCAGCGCGCAAAAACACAAGGACAAAGGGAGGAAATGCACAAGGCGAGCGCTGAACTTCAACTAAATGTTTAATGAAAAGGAAACACCGAAGTCCTGTGCATTCGTCCCTTTGTCCGTGTGTTTTTGCATGCTGCTACCAGTTATAATCATGCACCAACTCGCCTGTGCATTGCCACATTGAGCCACTCAGCACCATGACAGATCAAGGTTGCTGCCCTCGACCCCTGTGAATGCAGTGTTGTGCCGCCATTTGCTTTTCTTTTTAATACAAGACAAGACTGGAAACCTTTTGATACCACATCGTACACATGCCAAATCAAATATGTACTCACACTGTTCCATTTTTTCTCAAAAGCAGCAAGATCTGTGGCGGCTTTGATTGCTCTTGCCCGAGCTCCTTTCGACCTCCCGGCCTCCTGTCGTGACCCATCATGTTGTTTGATACCAACCTGGTATCTGAAACAAATAGCAGATTGGCCCATAAGTATTTGGTCAGAAACCAGACAAGTGAAAAAAAATTGCAGTGAAGGATTTGGGATCAGTACTTGCTGATATTTTACATGCACAACTAATGTCGAAAGCCCTAAGCTTTGCCACCAAAGTCACATAGGTGCACAGTTCAAATGTATAAGTGTGTTGAAGGTTCCTGAAATAACAATTAAGCCATAACAAGCTGAGCAAAACCTACATTTAGGCCAGCAGACTGTGCACTGTGCACTTAAAGAAAATATGTCAAGGTACAAATTCATGCCTAGATTTTGAGGAAAATAAAACAATGAGGGAACAACAAAAAAATATTGTAATAATGTGTCATTTTTCTGACAGAGGAGAAAATCTGGCACTCAAGGCTTCCCTCACTCAGATGCGATGGGGATACAGAACTCGGAATATTTCAGAAGTTATAAGCCCCATGTGGCACATCTTAAGGGGTAGGATTCATATATGCAACTTTTAGACCTACAAAACACTAAAAACATGTTGATTTAAAAAGATATTGAACAGACAGCGATGTAATTGATTTGAGTCATTTGGGAGAAGCTTTGGAAGCAAACAAAAGTAAATTTTATAGCAGCGACATAAACAGAAGAACAAGTACATACTTCGCGCCAGGGATGGGCAGTATTTCAAATACAAGTATTTGAACTACGTATTTCAAATACTTTGTGTATTTTGCATTTGTATTTAATTAAAAATTCTGTAATGTATTTGATGTGTGTATTTAAATACTAAAACGTGTGTATTTCAAATACAATTGTAATTAAATACAATTTTGTGGGCGAAAATACACCCCTCAAATTTATTGTCACTGTCCAGAGCAGGAAGAAAACTACGTTCTGCACCGAATGCAGTGTCTCTCAATCAAGCACAAGCGTTTTGTGACTTTGTAATTACGATGCTAGTCCAGGGAAAGAATAGTGACGAAATCGACGTTCACAGGCAGACTGGCTAAATAAGTGACAGAGACAACTTGTGATGCTTTCCAGCCTGATTTCCATCCATACTTTTGCCTCGAACATTCTAAATGCGCGGGTCATCCAGATGTTTGTAACTGGTGCGAGTTGCAACAATAAAAAAATCTGTAGCTAGTGCTGCGCGTCTTGGTCGTCTCGGTCCTTTGATTGTCTATACCAAAATGTAATCAAAAAAAAAAAACTGCTTGAAGCTCTGTACTTTTTTCACCTATTACGTCCAAGCTGATTACATTTTTTTTTTTTGTGATTATATTTGTATTACGTTACTAGAGCCTCGAGCACTAACTCCCGAGTGTGCGATGCAAAATTAAAATGAGATACCCAGAAACCTGTTGCAGGTGCCCTGAAGTCGCTGATGCAAATTTTAAGGAATGTATTTGGAAAAGTATTTGGAAGAGACCAACTACTTTTCTGTCTGTATTTGTATCTTGTACTTAAATACTTTTTTGCAAAAGTAATTAGATTTGTAATTAAATACATTTTTGACGAAGCATTTTGTATTTGTATTTCGATACATATTTGCATGTATTTTGCCCATCCCTGCTTCGTGCTTATTTCTTTTATTACAATACAGCATTAAAATTTGTCTGTTGTCCTACACAGTCACAAAGCAATTCCTCCTCTGCATTTCTACTCGTAATTAAGCAAGCACTCATTTGCATAATTAGTATTGCAGACAGTTGAATGACCTAAAATACTCAACTAGCTGTTAATGATTGCTTAAAAGCACCAGACATGGCAAAAGGAATGTTGTAAGAGAATCATTCTCTTTTTTTAGGAAGCCACATTTTGGCCAGCCACTGTCGAAAGAACATACGATTGATAAACATGTATAAAGACGAGAAAAAGGTATTCAGGTACAAAATCAAACATGAACCACATGCTACTAAAACATGCAGAAATAAAGCTTCAAAAAGTTGTGAAAAGGTTGTATATCAGTCAAATTTAGTTATGAATTAGATGAATTAGAGATCATCTGCACATATCACTTCTAGACACTTTTAGAGTGATACAGAATAGTGTGGTGCAGTAAAGAAACTCTTAAATAAATAATTAGCTGAGTATATTAAACATATTTTGAGGCTCCAATTTGTTTCCAGCCAAAAATAATTTAATGATGTATACTGCTTATGACTCTGCCTTCTAACTGAATGCCAAATAGAATTATAAGTAAATGACACATTCAGTAAAGATAAAACAATAGGAATAGTAGATATATTGACATATTTATTTGTGATTTCTGGGATAGGATCAAACATAGTCACATTGTAACATTAGGTGAAATTTTTAAATCGAATTATTATGCAAGATATAACAACCCTTAAAGTAACTGAAGAGTGTGTTGGTAAAATTCACAGACCACAGAAAGAACAAAACATACCCGGACGAAGGACGACAAACATTTCTTTTAATTAACAACATGAATGAGCTTAAAAGCACTTCCTTCAATTCAGACCGCCAAGGAAACTGAGAGAAAGGGAGGCAGAAAGAGAGAAAGGTAAGTGTCAAAAATTGTAAGGAAGGAAATAAGAAAAAGAGTGAAGTAACAGCATGAGTTACAATTCTAACTTTACACTTTCCTTTTTATCTTCCTGCCTCCCTTTCTCTCCATTTTCTTGGCAGTCTGAATTGCACGGAGTGCTCTTAAGTTCATTCCTGTTGTTCTTAGTTGAAAGAAATGTTTGTCGTCTCCTTCGTCCCGAGCACGTTTTATTCATTCTGTGGTCCAAGAATACAACACCCTATTGCGGTTTAATAATGGACTCTGAAATTGAGCTTGGAAATGTGGGTAGCCAGTGACAAATTAAAGGGCAACTCTACTCAATTTAGAAAATTTCAAGATAGTGGATGACCTTACTTTGAAAAGCACTCATGAACTCTACATTGTTTCACGAAAAGTAGAATATTGTTTGTCCAACTTTGCTATTTATAACTCAAGTCGCAAATTGAAACTTCGGCAAAGGGCAAGCAGCGACGTCAGTTGCATGCACACTCATGTCCATGGCAGATGCATGATTACGTGATTTACCCCACTCACTGGGTCAACTCTAGGTAGTGTTGTCTGGACTGACTGGACATGTGATGGCGTTGAAAGAGAAAAAAGCCGGTGTGTACAACAGACATCAACATGACGTCACATCTGAAGGAAGTGCCAAAGTTGGCTAGCCTGCACATCGCTCGCTAAAATTAGCAGATTAGCGCTTGTCAAACTTTGAGGGTCCAATTTTATATACAGAAAGATTTCAGTTGTAGCCTTCCTAGATGATTATAAAGAGAACTAATCGTTTTCTCAGCCAAAATTCAGCAGAGTTGCTCTTTATTGCCTCTCATGAGGCTCAAAATTATGAAGGAAATAAACCATACCTCTGAATGAACTCAATTGTGGTTCCCGCACCTTTGGCATACTGGATGTTTAAACAATAATAAAGGGCAAAAAGGAGCTCCACAGCTTGCAGAAAGCCCACATCTTCCACCATCACCTCATGGTCCACAAACAGCTGGCAGCTGCATTCGAAAAGTGAGCGGCCTAGGAAAGAAACAAGCGATTAATGTAATTAATGCGGAGAAAATGTGTTAGTATCAGATGTATCGACCTATCTAGTCAAGTGACCAGAAAAGTCATGCGACCGACACCACTACGCCGGCTTTTTCTCTAATAGGGCTTTTAACGCTCACGCATTAAATGAAGAAAAAAATACCATTGTCATATTCGCATCTGGAAACTTCTATAGAGGTATTACCAGCAGGGGCACTGAATAGGTAGGCACACCGATATAGGATTGTGACGCATATCCGAGATCTGAGACTGAGATGCATCACAATCACAGATAAGGCACACCTTATATGCCAAGCCAAATAAGGGTCACACTAAATAGTGTTGAGCTACCATACCCAGTAATGACATTAAGTTATGCAAAGTGCTCCTGAAGGTTTGAACAAAACAAAAAATTTGTATATGAGCATGTAGAATCAAACACTTTTTGTTGAGTTTGTGAACAGAATCAGTAGCATGGAAGTCTGATGCCAACGTGCAATGCCAGTCGTCGGTTTCGTTTAAATTGCTTTAGCTAGAAATTAAATGACCGGAGACCGCATGCGACCACACATTCTACGAGCAGAAAATTTGGCTGTTTGGGTTGGACAAGACACAGAATGCAGGCCCAAACAATCAAATGCCTCACAGGCACCTGCTGTTTGGGCTGTATGCCGTTTTGTGGCACCTTCACTCACAAACCAAAATAAAAACTTCTCTTTTTCTTGCTGGATCAATCAAACATTGATTGTCAAAGTATGGTATAATACCAGGACATGTGCTTTACATTGGTGCTTGATAAGGCTGCCGAAACCAAACAATGTGGTCGTCTATCTAGCTCTGGTCAAAATCGGCACACCACCCTTTGGTTACACCACTGCAGTATTCCAGCACTCTGGTTACACCACTACAGTATCCCACTACAATCGAGTCACTAGGAGTCATCTGCACTGACCCCTCTTCTCTCTCTCACTCTCAAAATGGCACTACCCACGATAAAACGGTCTAGGTTGTTGTTCCAAAATTCAACACAAATTAAAAAAGAAAGCACCTTCAAAAATACAAAGCATGCAAGGAAAAGACACATGAAGCTCACCCAGTGCAACAATTACAGGAGAAGCAGGCAGACTGTTACGAAACTCCTCTGTGATTTCTGTTGTCACCTAAGAAAAGTCAGAAAACATGTGTGGTTAATTGAGAAATGCACGAAATGCTAGTGAAGGTACCATACATCTATGGGTCTATATTTATTCCCACAGAATGTAGAACTGTGGGACACAAGCAAGACGACGTAAGGCGGATCGCAAAGAATGATGCCCGAAGAACTTATCGTGGCCGGCGACTTTACCGCAGATGCACGAATATGGGGATACAAGCGAGACAATGACAGAGAGTGCAATGTCTTCACACCCGCCAAGCAGGCCAATCTATGAATTCTCAAAGAAAAACAGACTGCCATTCGCATTGGCAAACGTCGCACTGAGAACGACACCACAAGACTTGACATGGGCCATACACAACATCCAAGCCCGAGTGCGAACTGCTCCGACGCCTTGGGAAGCAAGCACCTACCCGTCGAAATAGAATTAATGACAGAAAGACACCCCAACACTAAATGACAGATCAGCTTCATTAACCTAGCACCTGAAAAAGTGTCTAGGTGAGCGAATAATGAAAGCCACATCCACTCAGAAGTACCAAGCCAAACAAGACGACCCAGACCCCGACCTTCATCTCCTCAACTTGTGTGCTGTCAGACTGCAAGCCCAACAATGTTAAAGGAGAAATAAGGACTGAAAACTCCAAGCCAATTTCAATGCAAGCACGGTGAAGATAAAAAATACACCCAGAAGCTCCGTAAACAACTGAGGTGCAAGCTCCGAGATAACACACGACGAGTGTGGGGCACATTCAAAGGACTCTGGCAGGAAGGCCGACAACTTTAAATCCACTGCTTCCTGGTACACCAAACCATTCCCAAGTAAATAAAACAGTGTCTGCCGCCGCATGCGAGTTCCTGTCTTTCCTTATCCTTACTATCCTTGGTGACAACAGCGCCGCCTTCATTGAAAAAGACACAAAGGATCCCCTATTCTCCCAGCAAGCCAAACAACAGGCCCACTGAAAACACCTCACGGCTCTACTCAAAGAAGACTTAGACCCACTCCCAGATGGTAATTATACCAGGTGGGAAGAGGTTCGCCTGAAAAGACAACGGACCCACACCACTATGGTTTCCAAGGAAACAGCAAAATGTAACACCCACAAGAACATGGTGCATAAGCCGCCATACACAGGAAAAAGACAAGAGCCTATGCGCCCACTGCGAGGTCACAGTCACAGAAGCGCACTCCTGGTACTGCCCACACATGCAAGAACCCCAAACCTTGAAAGAGTCTGTTAATCCCACGGGTATTCGGGAATACCAAAAGGCTATTCTCCATTCACCCCTCACTTATGTGAAAGAGGTTCGTCTCGCCCACTTTATTTTCATCTCACCCTTATTTCCTTTAACCCTTCATCCCACCTACAGGAGATAGCGTTTGCTGAGATCAAAGGATGCGGTTCCTGTTATTTTCTCACTAATAAGGACATTTTTAACTACAAACATTTGTTGTCCTAACGCTCAATAACAACTAAAAAACAACGTTAAATAAGCAGCAATGTATCTGCTGATATCTGTCACAAAGCCTCATTGTTACACCTGCGGGACAAGGAAGCTGCTAATATTAAAAACAAATGATCCTAACTTAGGAGTCGAAGTGGAAGTACAAACGTTTGTCACTAGTTAATTCTCTAGCATAATTTTTGTGTTAACTCTAACACTCGATCCCAAAAATGCAAAACATCATGTGAACCCATTAGAAGCAAGTGGTACAAGAGTGGGTGCCCACCGCCGCTCCCCCTTTGGTTTAGTGAAATATTTATGTAGAACATACTATAAGATGACCCAGCCTAGAGTTGCATACCTTCCCATTGCACTCTAATGTGAAGTATAATAAGTTGAGCCACCTCAGCCAGGAAAAGATTAAGGAAGGTTTGGCTCCTCGTAGAGCAATAGTAATTTCACTTTTTACGTGCTCATTATCAGCATTGTCGTCAGATACCAAGAAAGCGTTCACAAAGATTTTGCAGACAATTCTGAAAAAGTGGGGGGATGGTCGCTCAGAAAGCGAAACTGCAGAAAGAGTACAAGGCATTGCTCCAATGGTTAAAAATCACTAGGTAGGCGCCTATTCGGACATAGGTGCATGACCGGTATGTTACGGTATACAGGAAGACTGATATAGCTGAAAATTTCAAAAAATGAAGAAAAGTTTAGTATTTCCAGATGCATAGTTTCTCAGTGGAATGCTGACTGCCTGTGTGAGACTTCCAGGAAGTTATTTTCAACAAGGTCATGAGGATGTGTCTTTGGAAACAAATAACCTGGTTATTATGAATGCTCCTACCTGATGTAGCTGGAAGAGCTCTCCGAGGTTTTCTTGAAAGTAGGATGCAAGCAATGGGAGGAGGCAGACAGCTGCTGCGTTTTGATCTTTGAACTCTGCCTCGGCCTTGTTGATTTTGAGGCTCCACTCGAGCACAGCATCATTTTTGGGGCTTGAACATAGGAATGTCACGAGGAGGAGGACATCTTTGGGCAGGCTCAATGTTCCGTCCAGACAGACACCTGTAAGCCTTAAAAAATTCATGTTATCACTGACTCCTCATATCCAAAATCTTTGTAATCAAAATACCTTTTTGGGAAAAGCAAAATATTGAAGGAAAGAAGTCTGCAAGGACCACTGTATGGTGAAAGTAGCAATCGTATTCGTCGTTCAAAGCACCTTTTTATGAGCATAATAGTGTATGTTTGTTTTAGGAGTGAGTGACTCTTGCAAAGAACTGAACATATTCTGCCTTTTTAAAAAGGAAAGAGTCTTGATCTAAGTGAGTGGGATCCACATCATCAATGACTGAAGGCACTTCACTCTCAACGTCTGGTTTTTCCCTAATGTTCTCCAGACCATTGTCATCCTTGCTACAGCATGACGTCACTATTTCATCCTGCTCTACTGGCTCTGTCACCACTGATTTTTTTTTTCCATTCCCATGGCATATGGAAAGATGGGTCATGAGTGAACCCCATGTCCTAAGCTGGCTATCACACGCATCAATTGGACAAGTTACAACAGTTGGCGGGTTGCCGGTGAGATGTTTTTTGAGGTGCTCGATAAAAGCCTTTCCAGAGCTCACCTCTTCACTGCAGGAACTAACACTGCATGTCCGGCAGGATTGGAAGTTAGTTGCATTACGAGGTGCAAGCGGAGAATGACACCTTGTGATGTGGCTTCGCAATGAGTTGTAATTTTTGAATGCAGCCTCACAGCCGACAACGCTGCATGGAACACCTCTTGATGATGTTTCATGATATAATGTGTGCTTGAAGAACGTGTCCAATGATGTAAACTTTTTCTGGCATCTTTTGCAGTGATGTCTCATCTATAACCAAAAAGGAGTGCTTGGTTTATTTCAAGTTGATTTAATATTGAACATGTTTGTTGGGACCCTGAGAAATACAATATCCCAAGACGACATGAGAGCTGAACAATTTGGCTTTCTTTTTTCGGATAGAAGGTCTCTTTAAGTCCCAAGATCTGCAAAAAAACATTTTTCTCTCCACGATTTTGTACTTAAACACATGATCTTTGCATTTTTATAAAGGTACCTGAAACATTACCAATATTCGAAGCAATCATGGCGAAGTCCTAATCCAAAGATATTAATCCTTGACCCCAAATTTTTTTTATTCCTGCCACAACTGAAGTCAGTGAACATTAAATCAACTGTGCTTGTGAAGATAATGACACACAGCATAAACATACACCTATCTAGAAATTAACACAGTAAGGATTATAAAGCACTTAACGTGAGCTTTCATCAAGTTTCAAAACTAACATTGTGTTTAAACTGAAGTACAAAACAGCCATCCTCAATGTTCTGTGTTAATCTGAAGGCAATGTTTCTATTTACGCGAGAAAGATAGAACACCTGCACCTGCCTGTCTACACCTGCAGCGTGCGTGTCGTCTTGTCGTCCAGTCTTAACATACAAAACTATGTTTCCGTGTTCTTTTAGGTTGCCCGAGCCATGAGGAGCTACAGTCTAGCATGCTAACATTGGGCAGTGATATGAATGGCCGCAGTAATTGTCATGTGAAACGTTCGGCTAGGTTGGCTAGGTTTTCGCTTCTGTGCATCTAGCTTGAGAGGTCAGGTGAACAGAGCTCGGCTGGAATGGTATAGCGCCTTGTCATTCATAGCTTGAGCAGTGCAATGAAAGCCAGGACGACGCAGCGCTATTTGATTTAAACTGCTGCCAAGGGCAAGGGAAAGGAACATGGAAAGGAGTAAGTAAACAACGCTGGCAAGGGAAATTCCTCCTCTCCTTGCCAGCTATCCATCTGCTTCCTCCACTCCCACCTTCCTTTCCCTAGCATTTCGCGCTGGACTTACTGTTTTTTGTTTGTTTTTTTTCTTGCTCTTTTCCATTTTTTGTTTGCGTTGCAGTCTACCGCGAAAATGTTTCACGCTAACGCCCCGCAATTGCACAGTAATGTGACACATTTTTTTTACCACCTTTTGGGGCAGAAAATTGGTTTTCTAGATATGTGGGCCGGCTTGCATGAAGCAGAGTCTCGGTTGAGACTGCTCAAAGAAAGCGCTGTCAAGGCTAGTGCTAGAGCTTAAACCGAGTCCTAGACGCTCGCGCGCCCGAGCCTTGGCAGCGCTTTCTTTGAGCAGTCTCAACCGAGACGCTGTCTCTTGCAAGCCGGTCCAGGCATCTAGTTTGTTCTCCTTTCTACCTCAAATACTACAATAAGGCAGATGACTTAACTCCAACTATAAGGCAACATATCTCTCTTTTTTTTTTTTTTTCCACTGCTGGCAGCCACTTATTACGGTGCAGTTACCAAATCATTTCTTGCCCAATTTCATTTTCTTTTTCTCTAAACACACGACGCGCTTCGTGCACCCTGCTGTGCTGAGACCGTTTCTTCTCTGAACAGAGCTGCGCCGCGGCAAAATGTTAAGGCTGAAACACATTTACAAGAAAAGAAACCGAATATAGAACGGAAATCGGAGGGTGCAAAAATTGTTGCACGCAAATTTGGGAGACAAGTTACACGAGAAGACCGATCCAGCGCAAAAGGCAACGTCCTCCGCAGTAAAATTAATGCAAACAACACCAAACGTGCACTCATATATATATATATATATATATATATGACGCCGTGATTAGGACTTGACAGAATCATTGGATAAAAAGAGACTGGCTGTATCAGCTTTGGTTTTCGAAGCAACCGAGGCCTTCACGCACCGGTACAAAGACTGCTATTACAACAGATAAAGTAAACAGAAGCAACGTGCGGAAACCAGTGTACGTATGCCACCGGTCACGACATCCTTCTACAGCCACACGCTTGCCTCGTTCTTATTCACGAAGTTCCTGGTAGATTAATTCGTTCTTACATGCATGGAGTCAGCCACAATCGGCGCTCGATGTTTAGTTGAGATTGAGATGTGCACCGACACGAGCATCGGCCGACGTACAGTCGGGAGCAAAAGTTTGCGGGGCACGGGAGCGCCTGCCGAAAAGACTGGCTGCGCCTTCTCACGCACGTTGCTGCTCCAAGACTCACGCTATGCGCACGCGCTTCCTTTCTTGTTCGCGGTCATGCTTTTTTCGCTCGCTTCCGTTCGACACGCACGATATATAACTGGGACTGGCGCAAGGTGCCGCGAAATGTTATCTGTAGCATGCGCGAGTTTCGTCACCCACCACGGTGGCTGAGGCAGACGCGCGGCGTGAGGGCTGTCACAGCGGCACCTTGCGCCGGTCCCCGGTTATCTCGTGCACGTCAGGCGGAAGCGAGCGAAAAAGCCATGGCTTCGAGCACGAAAGGAAGCACATTCTCGAAGCGTGAATCTTGAGAGCGGCCGCGCGCCGCAGAAGGCGCAACCAGTCATTTCGGCTGACGTCCCGCGCCCCGCAAACTTTTACTGCCGACTGTACACGAGCAAACTCACCGCGATCTTGCTTTGCCCGAATGCCACAACACAGCGAACAGCCCACACAATTCTCAGTCTCCGCAATGCTCCGTTCACCACATACACGTAACACGACAAAGATCGGCGAAAATCAGTCTTCGTACAAAGCTGATCAAAAACCGCGGAAACACTCAACCAGCCTCGGCGGCTGCCGCGGCTGCGCCATAGCGTAGAAAACCCGGAGAGGGACGGAACGGACGGAACTCCCGAAGTAACGTTGCGACATCGCTCCGTCCCCCTCCGGGTTTCCCCGCCGAAAGAAAGAAAAAAAGAGAAGGCAATAGGAGTTGCTGTCTGATTTACGTTTGCGATTTCTTCATTCAATTTGGCCGCTTTTCGCAAATGTGTTTCAGTCATGACTCATTACGTAGAGTCCGGCGCCGTCGCTACACAGTAGCGCACCAAGGAATGGAGAAAACTAAACTGAACGAACTCGAAAAAAAAAAAAAAAAAAAGACCGCGGACTTAAAGACGTACTGCAAAGCATTTGAGTACTGGCAGTGTTAGACACGAAGGTCGAATCGATCAATTTAAAGTTTCCTAAATCCACACAAGTCTACCGTAACAATATGAGAGTGCACGGAAGCTAAATGTCGGCTCGGCACAAACGAACAAAAAAAAAAGGAATTTTGGCACTAGTTTTTTACACTTCGGTCAAACGTATATAGTATATTATTGTGGGCACTTGAAACCTCATTGCACTGTCTCGCTTTGCATGTTTCGAAACAAATTGCACCTGAACAGCACGTTATGTCGAACAAGCAGCTACCGAAAAAATCGGCGTGCATGGTCCTCGAACCGGACCAGGGACCTCTGCCTTTCCAGCGGAGCGCTAATCCAAGAGCGTTTCACGTAGCCGAATAATATTTAACTAAGAAGGGAGCAAGAAAAACGTAGAACACCGACACACTACGTCTCGTGATAATGCTAGAGTAACACTCGAAAGCAACAAGGCAAAGACCCCGTTACCCTAAACGCTACGCACCTCCAGCGCGAGGCGCACATCGTCTGCACACGCTTGTGGCGAGCAATGCATAATAGTGAATCCAGACAACAGCGCGACTCATCTAAGAAAACAGTGGTGCGACAGGTATTCATCAAACAGTTCAAGGAAGGGGATGTAATGCACTTACCGTGAAATCTCCAGGTTTGAGTGCGGCGAACCAAAAACACGTCCACAAAGTCGCCGAATTGCGCGGGATCTGCCTCGACACGCTCACTGCGCATGCGCCAGGGGTGCCTTCACGCGGACAGCGTCCCACGGGAGCGCGGGAAAGAAGTTCACGTGACCTTCCGCCTCTCCGAATAAAAGGGCTGCATTGACTGCGCCTGCGCAGCGCGCCGGCTATGTCTGTTCGTTCGGGTGCGGTGGAGGGGTTTACGGCGAAACGGCAACGACGGCTCGCGAGCGGCTCTGGTCCCGTTGGCGCTCCCTGTAATTTTACGGTTTTTTTTAACAGTGCATACCTTGAGATGATCTGAGGAGGCCATGGCGTTGGTCGACACCGGCTGTATGAGGGCCCAGGGCCCGAAGCTAAAAGGCCGGGAAGCCGAGAAGTGAGAAGCGAACTTCATGAAGAATGTAATAAAGAAGCTTTAGCCACACTCCATACATCATACAAGAGAAACAGCGTTCACTGTAGACATGTGTGACGGGATTATTTGCGGCACGTCGCATGTTCCAAGCATGTTTGTTTCACACATGCTTCTAACATTTCTGCAGACAGTTTTTGTACGACCAATGAAACCTCAGACAGTGTACGCAGACTGTCTTTTGTACGATGTATTAGTAGTGTGACCGCGGTTTTACTGCGTCGTTTCGATACCTACATTGGCGATGCCCGGCACATCGCCGGCGCCTTTGCGCATGCGTCCTAGAGTTATTGGGTATCGATATTGGGGTTATGGAAGTGACCTACTACATTTACCTTGTGTAATTAAGTTTTTGTTTGTGGCAAGAAAAAATCATTTTATTTATTCGATTACTTTGCTGATATTGGTAGTCTTAAGAAGATCACGCGAACAGTAACGGCCCGTTCCGGTTGGAACGACGAGTTACCATAGCAACGATGCGCCAAACGGTTGCTTCGTTCGTGTTCGTTTGCAACGCAAGGAGTTGAGCCGGGCTGAACTTTTTCGTTATGTTCGGGAACGACCGCAACGACAGACCAATCACAGGTCGAGGAGAGCTCGGTCGCGCGCGTTGCATGCCGGTCGTGACGGGCTCGTTCTATGTGCAACATGGCGTCGGTGGTGATCGGCGATGTGGACGGCGTGGTGGAAACTCATCGTTCCGCGTAAAAGCGCTATCCCTGACTGTTAATTTTCGTCGTGTGTCGTTATGATAACCCAGTACGTAGTAGAGGGGAAGATCCACCTACTTGTGCGGCGACCTCGTGGCGGCACTCTCAAGACAGCAGAAACGCCCGCGCTGTCGTGTTTGAATACTTCGACTACATGTAATGGTGCTTTCTTAGCATTTGTGTCCTCGAACATCACCCAGATTTATTTTTTGGCGCGCGTGTACTCAGGTTCAAGGTATTTACCGTATAAACGATGCGAATTTTCACGCGTTTTCATCACCCGAAAAAGGTGATTAGTGTTAGCAATCCTGAACGTTCGCAACGTCTCGCTCGCAGCATCTATCTGATCACAAAATTATATTTCTACGTTGCTATATCGCTGCTAGGATTACATCGTCTTTTATAATCGTAGAAAAGGCGTGTGACGGGATTTGTACTGTTGACAAAGTCGCGTATTAAAGTCGTGATCGGGCAAGACGGCGTACTGCATCTTTTTTTCTTTTTTTAATGGACTACCCTGCAAGCGTATCCTGAAAAACAAAAATAAAATAAAGTTTGTAGTCATAGAAGACGGTCTGTCTATTTTCTGTTACGGAAGTGAGTGGCAGCGCGTCCCCTTCTTTTTAGAGGCACCGCTGAAACAGCTGACGGCGGCGGAGAGGCGGCCGCCGTGCTGCCGACGCACTGCGCTTGTTGCAGTGGTTGCAGGAGCGTACGCGCGGCGCAGAGCGGTCGTTCCGGTCACAACGGACGGACGCAGTCGTGGATAACGGATTCGTTTCAGATGCCTGAACCAGCCTTTACACAGCTATTGTAAGCGCGCATTAGATCTTCGTGACTGTACGCCGAATATCCGAAACCTCCGGCTGCTCCGTTGAGGACGGCGGACATCGCGTCGGGCAGGAAACCGTCCGCCATGTTCGTAAGCGTAGCTGGGTTGCTTACTATTGGCTGGGAACAGGAGCTGGAGCTCGTTTCTCATTCGCTGTTAATTCGTGTTGTTGCATGCGGTTGCATGTGTGTGTACACGTCGCGTACAGTTGTCGTTGAAGTCCCAGCGGGTGCATTCGTTCGTAAGCATAGTGGTCGCTCCGAACGCAAATGTGTGAACGAGCCTTAACTATACTAGAACTGAATCTTTTGAGGGAACAGGCAGAAGAAAGGTTCATATCAAAGCGAGACTCCGAAAGCACAAAAAAAAAAATAACGACATTCACAACTTCCTGTAACCCCGAATTAGAGCGCAGCTCTTGAGGAGAAAAGGGTACTCAGGGGAGGGTATGCCCCTCCTCCTCATCCATACTCTCTCCTCCTCCTGTCATTCTCCCTCCTCATCTTCTCCTCCTCTCTCCTGCCCTCCTCCTCCCCGCTTGTTGCATCGTGGAAATGTCCCATAATGCACCGCGCGGGACCCTCGTGTCGCCACGTGTAAGGTCACGAGTCCCGCGCGTTGCATTATGGGACATTTCCCATAATGCACCACGCGGTTACGTTGACGGCGACGCCGCTCAAGCCCGAAACGGGCGCCTAAGAGCTGCGCTATAAAATCAATCGAGTGAAAGGACAACAGGAACTTTTCCTAGGTCGCACGTTGCGGACTGCGGGCCCTCTGGAAGCGTGCAGATACCGCGCACAAAGTGATGGCACGTGCAGTTGCTAGCAACACGAGTGCTCTCGCGAAAATGGCACCCGCATGCAAGAAAAGGCAGAGCAGGGAGAATGTCCACCCGTCAACGTACGAACCTCGCTAACCAAGAGAAATTTCACGCTATGTACAGTGCCGCTCAAACTTAACACTGCCACTCGGCTACGCAAATATTGTACTATGGCATGCTACTCGAAGATAAATTGGTCGTTGCAGCTGCTGGATTACTTTACCCTGGTTGGGTTTTCATCGAGGACGCAAGTCTTCACCAACTAGTTTGGCCGCCAGGTTCAGGAATAGCTCAAGAAGTGAAGAAACCGGACCATCTCATGGCGGCGTTAAGTTTGGGGCGCACCGTACATTGTCGTGGCGGAAGAAAATTGCCGCTATGTTACTGCGTGTCGAAACGACACAGTTTTTTGAAGTAATGTCATTACTCCTTACAAGTATAATGTAATCGTAATTCCACAAGCTGTGACAACTTTTTTACTCTAATTAATTCAACAGTTTGCTTTACGCAGGCTATTGCCCTCTGAAGCCTTTCATATTCCTACTGCGTTTTCTGTTTTAATTGTTTATGTACTGTGCATCTTGCAGGTTATACTTTCATAATAATCCCACAACGTTGTTATCGCCGTGTAATATTGTTTAAAAAGTGTTCGTATTTGTTTGACTCATTGGAGTAGAAGGACGTATAGGAGGTATCCCATTTGAACGTGAGCAATAAATAGGGAAGTTGAAGTTATAATTCGTTGTCGCGATTCAGCTTCTTTATATACATATATATCACCGGACAGGAAGAACAGCTACAGCTTCATGTAAACAGCAACATCGTAAAAAGAAAAGAAGACAAATCCAGTTATGCCCGCTTCAGACGGGGCAATTTTTCCAGCAATTTTGAGGTTGCTGGCGGGTTGTTCCCTAGCTTTCCCTAGATCGACGCGAACTGCTGAGATCGGGTCCGGCTCGAACAAGCGAGCAGCTCGGAGCAATTCGAAGACGGTTAAAGCGGCTGCAGCCAATCAGAGAAGCGATATTTTCACGTGGCACCCATGTGGTGGTGATGATGACAGGTAAAGACTTGGTTCTGGTTTGGAATGGATCGTTTTCGGAAATGAACAGTTTCAGAAAAATTAGTTAGTATTCTCTACGCCGTTCACAGATATAAGAACGCGTTTTTAGCGCGTAGCTGGGCGTCTAAATAGTGAAAGAAGAATCAAATTTAATGATGATGATGGCAAGTCGGAGCAATTCGGTTGCTGCGTGTGAAATGCCGTGTGCCGGTGTTGCTGGTGTTGCGACGTCAAGTTGCTGGGTGAAATGGCTCCGTCTGAAGCGGGCCTTAAGGGGAAGAGACGCTAAACAACCTCTGGCACTTCATATTTCATCATCATTATTATTTTTTTAGAAGCATTTTGAGTTTAGTTGCATCATAGTGTACCGACCACTCAATAGATGGCACCGCAGTATAACCGCCAACACGGCAGCTCCAACGAACGGAGCAACCTCCGGCGACTGTCTTTTTTCCTTTTTAATATTTTTTTATAGTTTCTCAGGCATGTTCTTGCGGTCTGTGGTAGTCTAGCTCACTTCCTCTGAGACGAAAAGCCTAATTTCTCCACTTCCTGCTGCTCGTTTAGACGGTGTCTAACAGTAACCGGGAAATCCTCGTTGTCGAACCCAACTTCCAAGAAAAGCCTCGCTGTCAAACTCAAGCGACATCACGCATCATTGGGCTGCTGTGCCGGGTATTAGCATTCGTAATCTTCACGTTACAGGGATGTTATTCCTCTCGTTGAAGCCAACAGATAACGGCAAGCACCCATCTCCTCCCTCAAACACATACATACACAAACACAAACGGACACACACACGCACCTAGACACGCACACGTTTACACACACGCAAACACGCATGGACGCAACCGCGCGCAAACACGCACACACACACATTCGCACGTGCAATCACACAGGCACACGCACACATACACGCGCGCACACGCGCACGTACACGCACACGGATACACTCGCACACGCACACACGCGCGCACGCACACACACGAAGTATCCCGATGGCGACCGGCGTGTAGAACAGACGATTTCTGCGATAGCACCTTGATATACAGTCCGCGACCTGCCGATGTTACGATACGGAAGCAGTAATGCTAAGCGTGAAGCGACCGGCTCCGTCGCCATAGGGGTCCAACGCAGAACGCAACGCACAACAACAACGCAGAAAGGACCAGCGGAGCGA